CCTGTAAACAACTTTTCATATCGATATTTCTCCTACACGTTTTGTTCAGTTTCAATAAGACTCCTCCTACAGATATGGTTTAATTTCAAGAAGAAAGTGTAGAGTACATGACTAGGTGTTCACTATACTAAGATACGTAATTCTGTTTATCGGTTTATGAATTTCACAGGTTTTGTTATGGTTTATAAATTCAAATTTATGTGAATTTTTTTTTTCGAAACGCTACTCCTCCTTCAGTTTTTATATGATTTCTAAAAAGCTTATAAAACTATTAAAAATATAAAATGCAAAATTCTAAGTACCTGTTTTTAATTTTGACAAAGGGTGTTCATGGTTTCTAACAATTGTAAATTCTGTGCAATTCTGTCAAAATGCTACTCCTCCTACAGTTAAGGTCAGATTTCAATAAGACTTTTTAAACAGGAATAGTATACTAAGATATACCAAGTACATTCCGGTAAAGCTACAGTCTTGGCAGAGATTTCGAGTTTTCTTAAAAATAATACTGGGGTAAAAACAACAACAACAACAACAACAACAAAACAAAAACAAAAAAAAAAAAAAAAAACAACAACAAACAAACAAAAAACTCCAAAATTTTCATTATAATAAATAAATGTATCATAAATTTACTACTGTAACAGTTAATGAGGTATCGAAGTTCTTACTGCACTTAGTAAATTATAAAATATTTTACTCTTAGAAAACTGCAGTTCCACTGTACTCGTTGTAAGTATTTACTTGTTTACTCTGGTAAACTGAACAATGAACTAAAGCTAACCATGTTTCCTATATGAAATGTTACACAGAACAAAAAGAATTCTTTTTTTCAGGAGCTTTCGAGGAAAGAAAGTAATTTTTTGTTTTTTGATATATTTTTTTCCTTATCTTTTTTCATTATCTTTTTGTCGCCCGCGTGGCGCAGTGGTTAAAGCGTCTGCTCTAGAGTCGCGGCGTAAGGAGTTGATCCTTACGTCGCGGGTTCGAATCCCACTGTGGGACGTGGAGACCGGTCCTTCGGATGAGACCGTATAAACCGAGGTACCGTGTCGCAGTAGGTACTGGCACGAAAAAGATCCCTCACTGCTCAATGGCAGTAAGTGCCGAGTATAGGACAAAATTTGCAGCTCTCCACCGGCAAATGGTGGCGTCTCCATATGAGTGAAAAATTCTCGAGAGGGACGTTAAACAACATACAAACAAACAAACATTATCTTTTTTGGGGTGGGTGGGTGGTTTAAGTAAATAAAGAATATTTTGTTTTCTAAATTATACATGAGTACAATAAACAAATGCTTCTTATAAAGTCTTGGATTTCTAACATGAGGTATGTAAACTGTAACTACATGTAATTGAGATATGAATTTTATGGTTCACCTTGTTTTGTTTGTTGTGGATCAGGTGAAATATTCCGTCGTGTTTATATCAAAACATAATGTTTAATACGTTTTTTTTTTCTTTTTTTGTAGATGATGATGACAAGATACGAGACGATTTAATGGAATTTATAAAGTTGTGTCGCATGTATGTAATGCATAAAAACAAAAAGGATACTTAGTGACGGAAATGAAACCTATTCAACATCTATACTAAGTTCCTCTTAAAACAATAATTTCAGTTATGAAAACGCAATAAAAACAGTAAAACTCCTACCATATTCATGGCTATTTGCAATATTTATTTAATGATAAAGAGGAGTGTGGGGAAAGATAATATTGAATTCTTTTAGCTAACCTTTTTGGTGCGACCTGACAAAAGAATTAATTTTTTTTTAAATTAATGAAAAAAGTACAACCTCCTTACATTTATATAAACAAAATATTACAGATTTACAATGTTTACGACAATTATATTACATAATGTGTCAATAATGTAAAGATAATCATGTTTTAATAATTAAAAAAAATTTGAATTTTTACGATATGCCAACATATAAAACCTTGTATAAATTTTAAACACCGTCAGAGGATATCTGGTTTTGTCTAAGATTTTAAAGTATAAAGTAAAGTATATAAAAATTATCTAAAATTTCAATCACAATCTATTCCTCTTGTTGATAAAAAGTAACTAAACCTAATAAAAATATTACTCTAGTATTTAAGTTTTTATTATAGTAAATCAAAGGTTTTTTGTACTATGAGTTTCAAATCTCTATATTTCATTTTCTCCACATCTTACATTTGAATTTTTTTTATATATATTAAAAGGAAATTATTTGTAATTGTCTTTTTTCATTGATGTGTAACTAAAAAGCTATTTAGGCCCTAAACCTATAAAAAATGTTCTAAAGTAAAGTTCCGTAGTGAATAAAAGTATCAAAGTATTTACTAAAAGTTATCTATAGTAAACTTATAGTTAATATTTGTTAGTCTTTTCCTGTCTTTGAGTTACTTGCTGTAAAGACATTTTAACATTTATTTTATTTCAGTTTCTCAATACGATCAACAAAACTCTATCTTATTTTTCATATAATAACATACTAAAAAAATATAGGTTGAGAGTTTATATTGAAGCAAAAAAGATAAATATTGAAATAATCCTTACGATTATTTCTGGACTTTTTCACTTATAGAAATGCTGTTTTCTCTTGTAGATGAAGTACAGCAACGGCCTGTGAGAACGATGATAAAAGAGAATACTTTTCTAGTTACCTGTAGCCGTCTTCTAATAATTACAATAAACCAATATTTGCTAATTTTTTAATAATGAATTTCATAAGAATAAATATTTATTTGCAGGTCATGAATTCATAAAATGTATGGTAAATTGTAGAACCGTTTACTACATGTATATTTGAATTCAAAATCGTATATTGCCTATGCGATTTGTATAATTTGGGTTTATATTTAATGCCCTTCCCCCTTTTGAATAAAAGGCATATTATCTTGCACCTGTCGATCGATAGAGCAGTTATTGCCCGAACAATATCTTGAGACCCGTTGCCTGACAGATTTCAAACTTCTTATGCTGGTACCCCTAAGGAATACATGAATTTTTTTGATTTGGGGGTCTCAAGATCGAAAGTCAAGGTTTAGACATCCTGAGAAAATATATGCAAGGTAGATATAAAACTTCACCGTTAGGAATAAATGATCCTATTGATTTTGAGGTCACAAGGTCAAGGGTCAAACTTGACACAAGAACATATAGTTTGAGAATCCTTCGTTTGACAGATATCAAACTTGATACACTGATTGTCATTGAGGGGATTTTGAGGTCACAAGGTGAACTGGACATAGAGTTATACTCGAAGTGATTACTTTGAGAATCCTTTGCTTGACAAACATCAAACTTAGCACACTTGTTCTCCTTTATGGAATAGATGACCCCTATTGAACTTGAGGTAACAAAGGTAAAGGGTAAAGCTACTCTGAATCTAGGAAGATCATAAGATGTAAGATCAAAAGTAAAATGGGACATAGGAATATATTAATTGCTCAATATCTTAAAACCCTTTGCTTGAGAGACATCAAACTAGGTACGCTGGCTCCCCTTAAGAAGTAAATGTCTTTTTAGGTCAAGTGTGAAATTGGACATTGAAAGATATTAACCGCTCGATATCTAGAGAGCCTTTAATTGCTTGACAGACATCAAACATGGTACATTTGTACCCCCTGAGGATTACATCTCTTAACACTTCCTTCCCAAAAGTTCTGAAATTCTCAAATTTTAATGAATTAGGATCGGTATTTTTAACATTTTGACAGATGTTAATAAAGCGAATCAGATTTAAGTTGGTCTTTAATTGATTCATGCGCAAGCGATCATATTTCGATCATTTTTGAAGGAAATGAACCATCAGCAAATAATCGTTTACAAAACTGGAAACCGAACAAGGCTTATTTGATTCAATAGGAATATTTATCTCTACAAAATATTTCGGCTGAGCAATACCTCTTAAAAAATTTTCTGAAATCTTATATAAGGTAATGAAAGTATACTTAAAATCTCGACAAATTCTACTTAAAATAAGAACCATGGTTACATAAAAATGCAAAGAAGCTATTAAAGCTGGAAAAAGCAGACAGACTACATTGTAACAGTTACCAATTTCAACAAATTAGCCATTTTTTTTTCCCGCATATTCAGAGCAATGAAAAACACACAATTCTAGCCTGAAGATATTTTACTTGAAAGCTTCAAAAACAAGCACTACACACAAATAATGCACATTTCTTTATTTACATGTATAAAAATTATGTGTTCTATGTTAATTTAGCATTGAGGCCAAATTTATAATGTTTGTTTGTCCTCTTCCGACTCAGGATGTGAAAAATGGGTCGGTAGGTAGGTAGGCAATTTCAATGATGAATTTTCCGCAATGCATAAAAAATAATTGCTTCCTGGAGTTTAAATCAATTTTTAAATCTGGCTATTTTTAGCCAGTCGGGCGGGAGAGGGTAACCAACAATTTTCCAAAGTTCTGTTTTTCATTAAATTTAGAGCCTTGCTAATATACTAATACATGACGTTATCATTTTGTACACTTATATGTACGTAAAGGTCTCTGGTATCATATACAATATTTCTGCTGTTTGTTTGATTATATCCATTTTACAATCATCACTAGTACTATATTTAAATTCTCATCACAATAATGGGTACGTGCATGTAATTAATCAATACACTAAAATCAATGACTATTTGTAAAACAGCAGTGTATGAATTGACAAGAAGTAACATGTAGTAAACAAGGAGACCACTAAGTGGAGCATTCCCTCAAGAAAAAAAAGCACATCCATCCCGATATTAATTATTGCTTGCGTACGTAACGTCAGTGACTCAGGCACTCATTCGCTTACCCACACTTATACAAACGCTTTACTATATCCTCTCCAACTTCGTTACGAAAGGATGTGATACACAGAATATTCCTTTTATTAAATAAACACTATACATCACTGATTATACAAGTTGTGTGGACGAAGCTTACTAATATATGTTTGAAAGGATATATACAGCTATGTCGAAGAAAGAAAGGACAGAAAGAATTGTCAAACTCAATATCTTTGATATCTACTGGCGTTGATATTACGAGATCCTCCACTGGATTTGAAATGATGAAGAGGTGCGTGCGGAACGTAGGCTTTTCCAGTGTAGGGTAATGAAGAATTGGTATTGTACTGAGGGCTTGTGGTTGGTTTTCCCGCCCAGACGAGGTCTCTCCAGTTCCTAATTGGTTCATTGTTTTCTTGTTGATTTCCTTGATGTTTTCTCCTGTTTAATAATGAAAGAAAAACTGTGACTTATTATTCCTACCCGTGTCTGACAAGAATTTGCCGTTTTCACAATGGACACAACAGTCATTACGTAAACCGCCTTTGATTTGAATCGTTATTGTTGTTGTACGCCTCAGTTAAAAAGAACTATCAATGTGTAGCAAGGAATACATTAATCCCTAAGTAGGGAAAAATTGTGCACCAGACCTTTTATACGGTTCATTTCAAATGAGATGTCTAGCTCAATTTTAATCTGATTGTTCAATCTCTTAATTTTAAAAACAAAGAATACTTACGATTTACTACATTTTCGGGCTACCAGTCCAATGATTGTCATTATTAATACAATTCCAACAACAGAAGTAGAGGCTCCAACAATCAAATAGGTATTTTTTAGTTTTGCTGGAGTCGATCCTTCTTTGGCATCTTTTGTGTCAATTGATGTGGTAGTGTCGACACTTTCAAAGGAGATTTCTGTTCCATCCGTGTTGTATGTACTTGCAGTGGATTCAGCTTCGCTGATTGTAGTAGTCGAAGGTGCAGTTGATTTGCCATTGGTACTTGTTTCTTCCGTCAACTCGGAAGACTCAGTTGTTCTGACAGGCTGTATACTTTCCATTGTCATTGTCGACAATAATGTTGTTGAGTCAACAGAAGAAGAATCAGACACCAGAGATGTTTGTTCATTTTCTGCAGTCGTGAATGATGCGGTTGTTTTGAAGTATGTTGTTTCGTCTTGTTCAACAGTCGTGATAGAAGTTGTAATTTCTTCTATTTGTTCTGTGGAGCTCATCAATGCGGATACTGTGTCTGTGTAGATCATAGTTGTTGACATACTCTCTGTTGTTGTTTGTCCACAGGCTATGTAGAAGAAAAATATTTATATTTCTTATCTATACTGCTGTCAATAATCTATTAAAGAAATGCGAATCACATTAATCTCCATAAAGAACAGTAGGAAAATGAGAGTAAAGTATCCAAGTAAGAGACTTGCATTCATTTTCTGTCCAGTTGAATTTATCATTCGTTGCATTACAGTAAAGACACTCATTGATGGAACTATTCTGCATGGGACGAATGCATGTGCTATCTATGTAACAATAGTTGTCCTGTAAATAATACAAAAATTAGATTTTTCCTGTTAAAAGAATTCACAGCTTTAAAATTAATAACAAAAATGACTTTGAAATTACCTAAATTGCTTTTAAAGAAAAATAGGGATCAAATAAAACCGTGTTTTCGAAATTCAAACAACATTATTAACGAGAAGCAGACATGATATTTATGTATTTTCATAAAAAATACTTCGTAAATTTAAGAAATGAATTTAATTTTTGAAGATTCATGAGGACATGAACTTCAACGCTTCACGCCGGCATATTGCATGAAGCGCGTTAGCGCTTCATGATAAATATGCCGGCGTTAAGCGTTGTAGTTCATTTACCTCATGAATTTTCAAAAATTAAAGTCATTTCTTAAATTTACATCATATTTCTGATGAGTTAATTTGTCATTCAACTGTCACAACCACAAATTATGTCATTCAACAGTCAATTTTAAAACAAAACAGTTTGCACTATAGTTTTGACGTCAAGTACGGTATTATGACGTAGCAATGGAGATATTCATGCTCATCCAATGGTAGTTCATGAGAAAATGAAAAGTCTTCTAATTTGTAAAGAATCTTAAGGAAAAATATTTGGAAATGTAAATATATCAAAATGTACTCCAAACACGTTTAAAAAAAGAACAACACTTACCTTTAAGGTAAAATACACATTTCCGGATTCATTGTGGTACTCCTGACAATGAGACTGATATATAATAACTTGATACGTGTCTGTAAAACGTACTCCATCATTAGAAATGTTGAACTTGATTTCAGTCATCCAGATACCAGATGTGTCATACGGAAGCGGACAGAATCCCTCAAATAAGGTTCTCTCTTGTAAATTCATTTGTCTCTTATGCTCAATTTCTTCTGTTTGGTTAATATCATTCTGAAAGGATATTTTAAGAAAACTGAAATATTGCTGGAAAAATTAAGTATGCCATTAGCGTTGTCATAAGAAGCATTATATTAATGTTGATGGATTGATTGTATAACGTCCCATTTGAGAATTTTTTACTTGTAGAGAGACGTCACCATATACCGGTGAAGATCATTAAATTTAGACAATAACTCAGCACTCAGGGCTATTGAACAGTGCGGGATCATTATCTTGCCAACATCTACAGTGAGGCAGGGCCCTTTTCTTTAGGTCTTTCTTTTCAGAGTGTCGAGATCTTGGAGAAGGAACGGTTTCTACTTATCTTCTTAGATCTGACGCGGCCGGGGCTTGAACCCACGACCTTCCCACCAGGACGACAGCCATTTGCTATTGAGCTAACTTTATATTTACATAATCATTATTCAGACTGACCTGTTTCACGGTAAGATAATATATCGAGTCCATGTTTTCAAAGAAATATTTTCCCATGATGGTGGCCTCTTTACAGGTTGTTGTAGATAGATCACACAAACCAGCACCGGGGACACTTGTTATTGTAGGAGGGCCGAGCAAATCAAAAGAGCAGTCGCTCCCTCCATAGTTAGCGTCACATGTACAGTTTCCATAAAAAAAGGGAGAACCAAAAACTGTTCATTTTATCTACACGTATGACGAATCATGATAATAAAGACATATACAGTTTCGCGAAAATTCTTATAATATTTTTTTCGAAATTTTGTGAAATTACAAAGCTATCTGTTTGAGCTTTATCTCATTTTAACCCGTTCGATTTTCCTATGTTCAGCTTCTTTATTTTCAAGTGAAAACATTAGCAAATCAGTTCCTTAAAATTGTATGATCCAATGAATGCATTACCCCCATCACAAGTGCCATGTCCGGTACAGTTGCTTGGACATAGATTTTGTATTGTATAGGTAACTTCCGGTTCTGACTCTTGCAGTGTGGCATTCAAGAGAACAAATGTGGAACATTGCTGTAGAGCGGCTTCGACGTGAATCTGCGTTAGGTTATTATCACCAGTCATCTGAAAACAGACATAACCATTTAATTTGATCGACTTCGATAAATTCAAACTTTTTTATGCAAGGTTTGTTTGTTGTTTAACGTCCCTCTCGAGAATTTTTCCGCTCCGAGATCGGGAGGTAGTGAGTTCGAATCTCGGCCGCGACTGACATCAGTCGATAAAAAATGGGTAGCAACTGTTCCTTCGCCATGCACTCGACACTTTGAAGTGAAAGTTGCGGGTCCTTTGGATGAGACCTTAAAAACCGAGGCCCCGTGTCACGGCAAGCGTTGGCCCGATAAAGATCCCTCTCTGCTCATTGGCCCTGAGTGCCGAGTAAAGGTCAAAGTTTGAAGCCCTTCACTGGTATTTTGTGACGTCTTTATATGAGTGAAAAATTCTCAAACGGGACGTAAAACAACATACAATCAATCAATCGAAAATTTTTCACTCGTATGAAAACGCCATCACTTGCCGGTGGAGGGCTGCAAATTTAGACCTATATTCAGGTGAGGGATTTCTACCTATTGCGTTACGGGACTTCTGTTTATACGGTCTCATCCCAAGGATTGATCTCCACGTCCGGCAGTGGGATTTAAACCCGCGACGTAAAGATCAACTTTTTACACCGTGACTGTAGAGCAAACACTCTAACTGCTGCGTAAAAAGACCATAATTTCATTATTTCAGTTGAAACTAGAGCACGATATACTGCAGTATATGTCTTAAATGACATACATGTATTTTTGTATTTAACTTACTCTTATGTCCTCAATACAGTTGGATAAGGTTACATTACTAAGATCGGTCACATATTGTTGGCAGGTGTTGTATTCACGTGAATTTTCAAATGCTTGCAGGCAAACCGTCTCGGAGTATTCGGTCGACCGTACGTAGGACATAGTACGTTTCTTTCTCTGAAATAGTTAAATGAAAACATCTAATCAGGAGATAGCTATCATCGTGTTTTCAGAAGATATTGTTGCATTTGAATTTTAAAAAGGTACGTTAGCATTAATTTTAATTTCAAGATCAATAGTTTTTCCATCTATACAAAATGAATCTAGAGATTTTCAAGATGTAAAGAAGCTGATGTTCTTTTAAGATATAAATGAAATAGATTATATTAATAATAGCATACAATTAGAGGATCTCTTTGCATGTACATATCGGACACATCCCGTTTACGTCTTCTGTTTTGTACAAGGTCTACGTTACATGTATACTGTTTGCCTCGATTTGAGTTGCAGGGTGTGAACGTGTTGTAGGAGCATTGGGTTTTCCCGCTCTCGGTGCATGTACAGTGAGGAACAAGAATTGTTGACACAGACTGCAAACTGCTGTAAACTAAAGAGTCACCGCTGAAGAGATTTTCGTTGTCCAGAATCCTACGTAACAGAAAGTATCAGATGTTTATGTACAGTTAGAAAATGTGAAGCTAACGAACTGAAATAAATTGTTGTATACCAAATATTAATACTTACTTCCATGACTCAGAGAAGTCATTAGGATATAACAAACCGATGTCGTCTATAATAGTACTGTTTCGCCTTCTGAAGTCGTTTTCCCTAACACCATCAAAATATCCACACAATCCATCGGCATTTCCTACATCCATGGCAGAGGGTAGAATTTCAAGGTCAATGATATAATGTCTGTTCCATTCCATGATGTATATGGCGAGTGATGTACCCGTCGGGAAATATACCTGAAGATGCCGTCAAAATTGAATGATACAAAATAATCTCTTGTTGGTTACTACTTAATCAGTAGGTCTTTTTTCTTAATATTAATGTCAATCCTGTCGTATATAATCGAATGCTTGGATCTTATCAACCTAATTATACTAGATTTATATAATGAAAAAAAAATGTCACGATAGTTGAGCACTTGGAAACACAAACACGTACAAATCAGGATGAAGGTTACTTCATCTCATGAACATTTTGTAATAAAAAACCGAATTAATAAAAATTAGATTTTTAATTAGATTTTTTTTATGTATCCAAATGTATTTAGAAATAAGCTTATTTATAAACACTCCTTAAAAAATGGAATATACAGTAAATCTTCAAGAAATTCATGTGTTGAATAAAAAAAAAATGTAATACTAACCTGATTTTTTTTTTTTAAGTTTTGGATAATTGAAATGAGTATAAATCAACCACCTAAGTAACTGACCTTATAGTATTTGTCGTGAATTTTTGTGACTTTCAAAACATTGTCCTCGCAAAGCTCATAACCGATGATTTTATTTTCTCCACACAAATCTATGACGAAGACATCTCTTCCTGCTCTTGCTGCTACTGCGCAGACGCACCAAGGTCCATCATACGACGGGAAACATAAGTGGTGTTTGGATTGAATCTAAAATTTCAATGTTAAAATTCATATTTATACAATGCCTCCCCCCTTCTCTCTCTCTATATATATGTAAAACAAACTAAACATGTACGATAGGAACTCTTATGTACTTGTCTATTCTTTAAGTTTTATATCGATTTATTTTTTTCTGCATTAGCAATTCAAATTCGTTAAGGCACTTTCTTTAAAAAAATACATATCAGAGCATTAGTTTGATCCGCCTTACCCACTGTAGTTGATGTTGACTTCTGTAATTTATAAATTCTCCAGGTATCTGACACTCGTATGATCTGTAGGGAAAACACATTAATAACATGTACTTGTACAAACACGGTAAGCACATCTCTTGTTAAATGTATACAAGATTTATTGGGTTTTTTCCTTTGTAAACATTAATAATATTCTGAATGGCAAATTTGATTATAAATACATTAGATAAAGATTATCAAAGAATTCGAGATAATGTAAAGAATGTCATCTATAAAGTATGCAAAGTATTGTACCAAGCAACCCTTTAAGATTTCGGACTAACATGCATTAAAGATATCATGTAGCAGACTGCTTAGGGAATATGACATTTCAATCAAGATTAATATTATATCCCATTACTAAAAAAACATACATTTACCAATTAATAAGCTTTGTATGTAGCATCCAATACATGATACTTTCAACGCATCAATTTGATGCATGTAACTTAATTCCTTATGAGCTACATGGTAATTGCTACTTGGAAGCGGTCCATTCTCCAAAACTTATCCAGGATCACTCATAACCGTAATACAGTGAAACTTGTCTAATCCGGAATGCTATCTATTCGGCCAATTAATTTGAAACCAGTGGTGATCGGATTAGAAAGTTTTGCTGTGTATGTCATGTTGCTCTCGATAATTAGCCCATAAATGTTTTGTTTCTAAATATAGTTTTGGAAGATTGATGATTTTTTTTGCACAGGCTATTCCCATATTCTTACTTTCCGTCAAAAGTATACATATGTGGATCCGCTCTAACACTACAAGATCTGCCTTTCCATTGTTCATTTCCTTCTCGAACACTTATCTGTAACAAATTGTTTAACTTATTTGATATATAGTGGTATAAATCATTATAAAACAATTATTAGTATCGAGAAAAAGAAAAGATAGCAAATCAGAATACATGTACAGAAGCTTGATACTTCTTAATAGTAACAGGATTTCCATAGTATAGGTGAGATTAATGCTTATGAGCAACACAAACAAACTATTTTCATTCATGTATTTTAAGTTTTATTTTCCATTGACGTTTAAAAAAATGATATTTAAAACAATGCATAGATACAATTTTTTGTTCATATATGAAAAACATTCTTAACATTTTCTGTTAATATTATATTAATATATGTAACAACATACCGATATATCGGGCAAGGACACATGCTCAAATATTTTACTGCCAACTCCGTTAGTACCCCCCGTCTTCAATCTAAGGGTCATGCGACTATTGATGACGTAACCATCCGTATCCTGGCTATAAACCGGAAATGAAATGTTTTGCCTCCATTCGTCGTTCTCATACTTATGTTTCTCGTTGTAGCTATAGCTTTTTACTTTGACTTCGCACTGATTAGATGATCCCCCACCACTACATTTAGACGGATCGTCTGTTTTAAAGGTCATATGAATGTTCAGATCACTAACTGGTTGTGGAACACCACTAATAAAAAGCGATTCGGAGGCAAATGGTATTGTCATCTCCAATTCGACATTCTTAGATCCTTTTCTCTTCAACTCAATACTTGGATTGAGTATCTTCAAAGAAAATGTATTTAACTAGTAATTGAAAGCTTTTTTTTCAAACGCATAACATTTTGAAGGGTTTTAATAAAATGTAAGAAAAAAGTCAGTAAAATACAATCTAAATAAAGTTACAAAGAGTGTTTAAATTGCAAACTGAGAACTTTTTAAAGGCATTAATCTGAAATATTTACTGTATTACCCTAATTCCAGCAAAGAATGGAATTCCAACTTTGAAAAGACATGGAATGTTTTCTTTTTTACGTTTTGCACCAACTTTGCAGTGTACCTTACGAAAGAAACAAATTTGGTTGAAAACTGAATCACTCTTCTTTCATTACTCATATATCTTTATTTACCCTTTTTTGACATAAATTAATATATATACATACAAAACGGACGTATATACAAAAAAAGGTTTGACATGATTTCTATCAGAATTTTTTTTTAAAGATCAACATCTTGATGTTAAGAGCCTCATTCCCAGATGCTCAAAACATTCGACAATTTTTTTTTAATGCTTACCTCACATCCAATTTTTTTCTCAGCTTTCAAAACATCATGAGCTGTTATCACAGCAGTGTAATTACTGGTTTCATCAACTGTCTGATTTAAAACTTCTTTTCCATCAATAAACCAAGTAACGTCGTAAAAAAGTTCTTCATCGGATTTCAAACTGAAGTTGCAGAGAAGGGTCACAGCGGGATCATATCTGATCAGATGATTTAATATTTCTTTCCTCCATGTCATATTATGGTACAAAACCGAAACAACTGATGGCACCCAATCAACACCTGTTTTGGACGCAAGAGTATAAATGTATTTATGACAAACAAAACACTTGTAAAATCTAAAATAAAGGCTACGCAAGAGCGAATTGGGATTGATTCCTATAAAAGAAAGCTATACTTACAATAATCTGTATCAACTGGGAAAATGAAAAAAAAAAGAAAAGAAAAACAAGTATTTGTATCATAATCAAAATGTGAGAAATATAAGAGATTCATAAAAATAAGGATGTAAGTAACAAACCCATGTCACAAGTATCGTTTGTCCACCCAGTAGCACATCCGCCAATACAAGATCCATTATATCGGTCACACAAGTACGGTGTGATACAGTGACTGCTACATCGCTGTGAACAATCACGTCCATACCAGCCAGTACTGCAGGCTAAAGAAGAAGGTACGGTTTCAATACAATTCTGTCCCCTTGTTAAATTAAATATGAAATTGCTGTGAGAAATTAAAAATCATGCTTTCTTAATTGTACAAAGTCCATGCAGTAAGATCATAAAAATCGTTTTTTTTTTTATATATGACCTCCTAAATGCTAATTGTGTGAAGTCCTGAACGTGTATTTTACCGTATTTTCTTAAAATGTTGTAGAAAACATCAATTTTCAATGGAATTTTCTTTCAGACATTACAGATCACATGCTTCGGCCACAAAGATTTTAGGAAATGTAATTTTAAATTTCAAAAACATATCCGAAAGAAAAGTGGGCTACGGCTGTGAGCACTATTTTCTAAAGAAAAATTACCCCTGAAATGAGTCATTTTGAGTTTCTTTCTGTTTAAAACTTAGGAATGTAACAAATTCAGTCATTTTCAGAAAGGTCCTCCGATATGCCATATTCTTTCCTAGCTTATCATGTATGGTTACTTAGTAGTAAATACACCGATTCCGCACTGTGCGATGCGAGTGACGTCACAATACCTCATATCAAAGACCAGTTCGAAAACCCAAATCACGTATAAGACTGACTTGCAAAACTACATATCAAAACGGATGTAAAGATTTAATAACATTAAAAAAGATAAGTGACTAAATTTTAATGAAATATATATATCCAATGCAATTTAAGAACTAACATTTGTTGACTTGATTAGTTTCCAAATGACCTAAAATAAAGAAAAAAAGTCAAATTGCACGAATCCCCCACAAATGACTTTAAATGGACTCGCATAATATTTAAATTTAGGAATCACTGTCTAGTTTGTTGGGATGCCAGGGCTTTGATCCCTTTTGCCGCCAAATCATACTAAAGGGGTCCACCGAATCTACACTGTGGGTATTGCATATTAATATCACTTCATGACCTTAATGTGCCATATTAATATCTCTTCAAAGGACCATGCCGTTTGTGAAACAAGAGGCCCAAAAGCACAAATCAGTTCAGTATTGAAAAGATTACCAGGGGAAGGGGGGGTGGGGCTTGAATTTTAAACTACCTGATGATGCTTCCATATCAATATAACAAATGGATTTGTTGCACTAGAGAAGATTTAAAAAAAAATCCCATATACTCCTTTGTAAAAATTTGATCTCCCATTGTGGCTCCCCCCTATCCCAAGGTCATCATTTGAACAAACTTGAATCTACACTATCTGAGGATGCTTCCATACCAATAAAACTAAAAATAGCTTTTCTGTTTTTGAGAAGAAATTTTTTTTCTATATGTTCTTACGTAAAACTTTTGATCCCCCATCGTGGCCCCACCCTACCCCCTGGGGTCATCATTTGAACAAAATTGAATCTACACTACCTGAGGATGCTTCCATATCAAAATGACTAAACATGATTTTCTGTTCTTGAGAGGAAGATATTTTCCTTTATGTTCCTATGTTAAATTTTGATCCCCTATTGTGACCCGATCCTATCCCCGGGGGTCATCATTTTAACAGACTTGAATCTACACTACCTGAGGATCCTTCCATATCAAAATGACTAATCATGGCTTTGCAGTTCTTCAGAAGAAGATATTTTCCTATATAGTTCTATGTAAGACTTTGATCCTCAATTGTGGCCCCACCCTACCCCCGGGGGTCATGATTTGAACAAAATAGAAAATACACCCTGAGGATGCTTCCATATAAATATATCCAATCAGGGCTTTGCTGATCTTGAGAAGATGATTTTTAAAGATTTTTCCTATATATTTCATGTAAAACTTTGATCCTCCATTGTCGCCCCGCCCTACCCCATGGAGGTCATGATTTGATCAAATTTGAATCTACACAACCTGAGGATGCTTCCATATAAATATGACTCATCATGGCTTTGCTGTTCTTGAGAAGAAGATTTTTAAAGATTTTTCCTATATATTTCTATGTAAAAATTTGATCCTCCATAGTGGCCCGGCCCTACCCCCGGGGGTCATGATTTTAACAAAACAGAATCTACACTACCTGAGTATACTTCCATATAAATATGACTCATCATGGCTTTGCTGTTCTTGAGAAGAAGATTTTTAAAGGTTTTTCCTATATATTTCTATGTAAAACTTTGATCCTCCATTGTGGCCCCGCCCTACCCCCGGGGGTCATGATTTGAAGAAACTTGAATCTACACTACCTGAGGATGCTTCCACCTGAGTTTCATCTTTCCTGGCTCTGTGGTTCTTCTGAAGAAGATTTTTAAATGATGCTATTAAGTTTTCACTTATTCTTTATTATCTTCCCTTGAAAGAAGGCGTGGCCCTTAATTTGAACAAACTTGAATCCCCTTCACCCAAGGATATTTTGTGGCAAGTTTGGTTGAAATTGGCCCAGTGGTTCTTGAGAAGTCGAAAATGTAAAAAGTTTACAGACAGACAGACGGAAGCCGGACAAAAAGTGATCAGAAAAGCTCACTTGAGCCTTCGGCTCAGGTGAGCTAAAAACTCTTCTAATATGAACATTTGACATCCGAATATCCCATTAATTCACTCATGTGATATGACATAATTTTTCCGTAAAAGTTGCAAATTTTACCTGATTCTGTATATTCTCTGAAATTTTATCGTAAATTTTATAGGGAATGTCCAAACAATAAAGGGGTTAAAAATGACGTCGAAATGGGGTAGGGTGTCATTTTACAACATTCTATAAAGTTTCAGCCCCTGGAAAACCTGACATAGACCTAGAAAATGTTTAAACAGGCTACACAGAAATAAAATACACCCAGAGTACTTTTGTTTAAATACCAAGACAGATTCAGCAAGAAAAGAGACACACGGTTAATGTCGATTTGAAGCCAGGGTGTCCAAAGTCAGACACGTCGAAAAGTGACGTTGATCATTGGTTGACATTGAACTTCGACAAGAAAATTATGCTGGCGAAAATCAAGCGAGGATTTTTTCCTATGTATAGATTTAATATTTACAATATTAATGCATTGAAATCAGGTGTTCATAACATTGTAAAGTCATATAAACAAGACGGGTTTAGGTCTTTACTTTACTCCAGAGAATCTCATCAAGATAAGTGTATTGAGGCACAGGGAGCGGGCATGGAGAAATAAT